GTTTATTCACTATATATATATTTGATGATATAATATTTATAATAACTTATAATATGGTGAATTAATATAACTTTTTAAAAATTTTATATATTATATAAAATTAAGATTTTTTAGCATAATTTAATATTAATAGCAAAAAATAAATTGGCGGTTTTGGTAATTTTTATTAATCATTAATTTTTATGTCAATTATATTGAATCAATTATTTTAAAATAAAAAATATTTTTAATTAGTCGAAGCTTAAAAAAATATTTTAATATTATCGTAAATAATGAGGCTATATATTCAAATATTGTATGCTTTTAAACAAAAATAAAATTAATAAGATATTTCTCTAAATTATTGATTTAAACAAAATGAAAACAATGACAAACAACAAAAAAATTAAATTATTTAACAAAATCTAAATTATAATTTCAATTTAAAGTGAAACCAGACCTCATATTTGATGTTTTTTGCTTAATAAATATGTTATGTTATGGACGACATTGCATTCAAATAAGGGTTAAACAGAATTGAGTGCTAAAACTTTATTTTTCTTTCAAAATATTTTTATTTAAACTTAACTATAATTTACAGTAAATATATGATAGCTTTCGGCAAATTTCCGCATTATATATGATATACTTTACATACTTTTAACAGCAATATATAACTATGATAATTTATAAAATCATAAAATAAAATTTTTAAATTAATTATTATAAAATTATTCATAATATTATTAATCATTGTTTGTAATAAATATATTAATGAGAAAAATTTAAACATAAAAATAACCAAATATTAATGGTATGGACTCTATAGTTTGGTGACATTTATATAAAAATATAATATTATAAATTAATGGGATGAGTGAATGGATTACTTAAATGAACTAAAACTAATAACTTTTTAAAAATGTTTTTGTAAGACTATATGTAACAGTTGTGATATTTATTTTTAGATTAAAAATGACAATTTCTGAAAGTAATTTACAAATCTTAACATTGCTTTTTATAAAACCTATTTAAGTTTGAAGTTATCTTAACAGTTATGACTTATGACCCAATCGTTATTTACAACATAAACTCAAAATTTTCATTTTAAAATCAGAAATACTAAATATTGAAAAATGTAAAACTTTACAATTTTTCTTTATTATTTTATATTTGAAGCAAATTACTATATACAGGCTTATAGTCAATTATAGATATAATTATTTTATTTTACCTACAGGTTATTATTATAAAAATATTAATATAAGTTTATATAATATATTTATTGTTTAACCGACATTATGTATAAATATTATAGATGTATCTTTTAATTCTTCAATGTTTTTGAATTTATTTTTTAAAGCCTGAGTTAAATTTGTTTATATGATTACAAATGTAATTAATAACTTGAAAAAGTTTGAAATTAAAAGTGATTTTTTTAGAAAAAAAGATAATTTGAAATTTTTTAATCTCTAAGACTAATGTCTCAACGTTTGTAAATAGCAGTATATTATAGATCTATTTTATTTTTTAACATTATTTTTTAGCTAATAGTTGTAATACAGATCAAATTATTTTTTCAAATAAATTTCAAATAAATTTTTTAAAACTTTAATTGAAATAAATTAGAAATAAATTAGTTAATATTGATATTATAAAAGCAATGAAAGTTTAGTTTTAAACGTTTTTAATAAAATGTTTGTATTTTTAGACACAGTTTGATTTGTTTACTGTTAAATATTTAAATAATGGTCAGACATGGGAGACATAGGGTTTGTAATACAAACTTTGTATAAATAGGTACAATAGACCAGTGTTTATAATAAATGCTTTTTCAATCTCTCATTTTAAGCATTTGAATTGAATTTCAGAAAAAATAGAAAAATCCTAGATTTCCCTCTCATTTACTTTAATCTCTCTCTCTCTCTCTCTCTCTCTCTCTCTCTCTCTCTCTCTCTCACTCACTCACTCACTCACTCACTCACTCACTCACTCACTCACTCTCCCCTTGTTTGGTCTATTCTTTGGACAAAAGCACACAAATAATACAATGAAAAGCATTAGGAAAGCGACAGTAAAATAAAGTAAAGTAAAATGAGCCAAAACTATAAGCACAAGTGCACCTGTAGTTGTAGTAAAGCACAGGTATATTGAATTGCTTTACTGTTCTCTAGTGTACTGTATATCGCAAACAATCGCTTTTCTTTACCAATTATTCTTAACTTTTATTGCTTTTTTGGTCTCTAATACGATATACAAAAACATCTATTAATGACCAAATGTATCACAATTTTAATTATAATTGTAATTTTTCTTTCTTCTTTAATGAGATTATCAAAGTTTTACAATAATTATCTTTTAATCTTTTAAGTGTATTCTATAATATGATAAAATTGTGGTAAAATTACTAAATTTTTACTTAAACTTTTAATTATACTAAAATATTTATAATATTGTTATTATAGTATTTATAATAGAGTAGCGTTTAAGTATAAATGTTAATAAAATTATTTTTACTATAATATTCAATTAAACGAAATAATATTTATATTTAAATGATTTTAATTCTACTCTATTTTTGCTGATATTCTAAACATTTGTTATATTTGGTTAGAAAAGTCTTTTATATGTTTTCAGTTTATTTATAAAAATATATGCAAATGTTTTTTTGTGTGAATACAAATTCATATATAATTTAAATAATAAGCTGTTGACCAGTCTGTGCTATAGCCTATAGCATATTAAATTGTAGAGTATAGCTACAGGTACAGCTCAGGTAGTATTTCAGATTTATCCCCTTTACTAAAATGTTATTTTTTGTAGTCCACTCTTATATTCACTATAATGTCAATGTATAGACAGAGTACAACTGTCCAGACCTTGAAGCCATTGAATGAACAAAAAATGGGTTCTTTTTAAACATTAGTTTATTATTTTTTCTGAGAAGCCGTTTGTTGTGCGCTAACATCCCGGGGTTCTACCTATTGATGGAAAATACATTAAGAGCTAAATGGAAATATAGACCAAAAATAAAAGTTGAGTCTATAGACTATATATACATGAATTAAGGCAAAAACCAAAAGTGATGGTTGTTTGTAGATATAGAGTTTAGGGTAAAAAATAACAGCGGATTCAAAGTGTTGCAAATACACCAATAGTCGTGTTTTCTAATGTTTTGAAGATAGAAATTTTGGCTTTTTACCCCCTGGCATGAAGCCAAAAAGTTAGGGGGCCCCCTACCAATTTTTGGCGCCGAAGGCGCCGAAAATTTTTTCAACTACAAAAAAATAAATATTAAATTAGTTTTAATATAAATTAATAGCTTATGTATAGAAAATAAATAGATAAAAATACTTAATTACGTCAATTTAACATACCTGTGAGAAAGTCGGCGGCGGATAACAAAAAAAAGTCTCAACAAAAGCCATGACTCTGACATAAATTGTTGTGTCATATGTTATATATATATATATATATATATGCCTCTACTATTGGACTCCACATTATTGAAACAGTTTATGCATTAGCTAACATTTTAAATTTGCCATTACATATGAATACAGTACATACATACATACAGAGAGAGAGAGAGAGAGAGAGAGAGAGAGAGAGAGAGAGACCGTCAAACCAGACCGTACAGCAATATTATCACCCATTCTTAAAGCACCCGTTCCCTACATTTAATAGCTTTTTATAACACAACTACTGACTTACCATTTATCCATCACTTTTATCTATTAATTAGTGTATATTTACATTCACTCTACTCTTGATTTCTTCAGTCATTCACTTAATGTAAAACTATAATTTTGGTTTTAATAAACATTTACTTTATAAGTGATCTGAAAAAATCAAGAGATTTTATAAATAATCACTTTTATACATTAATTTTAATATTGTATTAATATTTTTAATGTATTTCATTATAATTATATACCTCTAATATAGTACTACTTTAAATTTAAAAAAATAGTTATTGAAAACGTGACATAATTGTAAACTTATAATACCAATTAAATGCATTTATGTTATTGTATGATATATAAAAAAATAATTATAACCAATGATAATTTTATTTTTTTAGTTATTTACTTAATATAATATATAAGTAAAATAAATATATGTTTAACTTAATATGAAAAATATGATATAATTATATAAAATTTGCATTACATATAAGTGTTGGTGAAAATTTGGATTAAACAAGTTATAAATTATAATTGTTAACATTAAACTGATTTTTTATCCCAAATTTCACTAAAAAATATAAGATAACTGTTTCACTTAATTATTATAATAATTTTGTTCAACAATAATATCGCTTCCGTATGTGAGATAGTGTGCGACTCAAGACTGTTGTATTGAGTTAAATGAATAGAGAAAAGACTGGGAGAACAAGTCTGTGTATACCTAATGGTGGGCCACATAGCGAGGGGTTGGCTCACCAAAAGTGAATACCATTTTTTGGTGGATGTGTTTGGCATTAGTCAGTCAGTGTTAGTAGCGATCAGGACGTCGACCTGTTCTCTCATACAACTGTTCTCTCCTCTCACTAAATAGTAATACTCGCTCTCACTTTGAAAAATGTTTAGTCCACACAACATATCTATACATTGAATGTTTTGATTTTCACATAAAGTTTTCATATAAACTTGATGTTGACTTTGCCTTAATGTACACTTCATATATCAAATGCTTTTTTATGTGATACCTGTGCCTTAGTATGACTTAATTATTTAGTTAAAAAAAAAGTTTTATTTTTATAATCTGTTTTTTAGTGTTTATATTATTAAATTTATTATTGAGTAAAAACATTGTTTCAATTAGACGTAAAAGGTTTGATAAGTTTTGATATTTAAATTGTTTGCAAACTTTTACCATCAATAACATCATCGCGTCTTTTATTTGTTATTAATTAATCCGGGATTTTATATATATATATAATTATATTCATACGTTTACACAATTTGTTTGGATTTTATATTTGTTTTATATGATAAAGTGTGTCACTATTTAATAACTGATTAGTGATTCAAATACTATATTCAATATCACATCTGACACGAGGATCTTAATCTGAACTTTCGGCCACTGTTTGTGATTCATGTCCACATATCGGCGACCGTTTTGCCGAAAAAAGACTCAAATTAATGGATGTTTTCAAACTGGATGACGGCTCGTGTGGTGTATTACCTCCGGTCACGAGTTCGACGTCATCTCCAGAATCTGCCGTCAAATTAGGTTCAGAATTATTTGAGAACGACTTTCCCCTGTCTTTCTATGAGCCGATTAAGAAAGAGTACGATGAAAAGCCATGTATTTATGATCCCAACTCAGTTTCCGATGGCGTATATACGGCCAAAGACTACGGTCCGTTACCACCCTATCCGGGAACTGAACCGCAGTCTCTCATAACACCAATGAATAGAAACCCTATGAATGGGTCACCGCCGGCTTTGGCCACTTCACCACCACTTGTCACCAGTAATGGTATGCATGTGGGATCTGCCACTGCCCGCACTAATGGCCAAACGCCGGTTACTGTTATATATGAAACAAAACGAGAATTAGCCGAAAGTTCTTCACCGACTCATAAAGCAGTCAAAAGTGGAAGAAATAAAAACTCTAACATTTCTCAAGGTATTCATTGATTCAATTTATTTCTCTTATATTTTTCTTATCTCTTAAATGCTATTAAGTATTGCATACATTGCTTTGGTCACTGAATATCATATTATATGATAAATAGACAAACATTGTGTTCCCATCAATAATGAGTCGTATTTCTGGTTTTGATCTCAACTATTGATATTTTTTTAGACAATCTTGAATTGAATAATATTTTTTAATATTGAATTGCCATTTTTATTTATATCGATATATTATATTATTTAAATTAAAATAATTAATAAATATTTTTTAAAATCAATCATAGAATATCTATTTTCACAACTCATTATTTGTTTTTAATTCAATAATTTATTTTGAAAATCGATATACAATTGAAAAGTGTTTTTTTAATCTGAATATCGATTAAATGGATGATATTAAAGGATAACTTATTTGTGAAAAGTAAATGAGTTATTATTAGACAAATGTTTAGGATTTGTGTCAAGTTCAGGGTTGGGATGCATATGTGATGGGGTGTTATGTAGTCATACATATGAATATACAGTTTATTAATAAAATTACATTATATAATAACTTCGTATATGTTGTGCACACGTTTTACATTCAATGCAATCAAACCAAACACACTGAGAGTTTTGTTACCTTTTCAATGTCAACGGCCTATGAGAGAGAGGTTTGCTTCCGCAGGTCATTAAACCCTCAACTTTCAAGTGAAGGGACATCGATCTCGTATACCAACTATACTATCTCTCTCTCTCTCTCTCTCTCTCTCTCTCTCTCTCTCTCTCTTCAAAATTATTGTTCATTAAAAAAATAATTATACTATTAATTTCAAGTTATATATAAGTATATAAATATAGTATATATATAATACAAACCCTTTTACAATTATTAAATAGAATATATACAATTAATATATATATATATATATATATGTTTCAAATATTAATTTTAATATATTATCCATTTATTTCATGATTTTTAATTTCTCTATCTGTCTCTCCCTTCCATTCACATGTAATATACAGTGAATTAATATTAAATGATAATATCTATAAACGATTATCATTTGCATTAAATATTTTTAGAAATTGTAAAAGATTTGTCTAATTAATAGCGCTGTCAATTATTTTTTAAAAATTACTTATAATCAATTCAATAGGGATTTTTAACAAAAATTTCATATTTTAAATTTTCAAAATCATTTAAACGATTGTTTTTTATAACATATTTCCTACAGTTTAAATAAAATTATTAATCTATAATAATAAAACTATTAAATACTTTATCATTATATAATAGTATTTAAGTATGCAATTGTCAGATAATTTTTATAAAAGATATCCCTTAAAAAAATGATAAATAAAAAAATTATTTACTTTTCTTTATTTTTATATTGTTTTTCTCTAAATATAAAAAATAATGTTTATTGTATTATTTGTTAAATTTAATTTATGTGATTATATATATACCATATATAATCTCATTGAATATTTTATTGTTTGTTAAACTTGTCTAATCATGTTACTTTTCATAAAAGTTTTAATATTTGCTGTATTATATATTGTGATTATAATTGAATTACATAATACTAAATAACAACGACAAAAAAGTCTAATAAACTTAAAGTAAAAAGTAAAGCAAAAACATTTGAAAAATAGAGTTCAAAAGATACATAAAGTAATGATAAAAATCAGAATAAAAATACGAAAAATTAAAAAAAATAAATTTTCGTCATTGATTTACAATTATGATAAAATGTATTGATGTTTCAAAATACTGCATTAAAATTTATCTATTGATTAGTTTAAAAAGTTTTACTAAAAAATTTATTTTAAAAAATATAATATTTTTATTAGAAAACATATACAATAAATATAATCATTAAAAATATTTTGTTTAATTTTGTCAAAATTTATTATTTATCAATGAGTTTATCCTTCACTATAAGTAAAAAATTAATTAAAAATAATATTAATACATGTATTATATAGTACTGTATATACTGTATAAGTATTTATTAGATATTAAGTACTTAAAATTGAATACACTCTACATTTTGGTATTGAAATGTTTTGTATAAATACTGTAAAAAAGTGTTTCTCAATATTATTATCATTTTATGTATGTTATTATCGGCCAAACAAATGGTACTTTATTTCATTGACAGCTTTTTTTATTGAGAGTTCGTTGTCGTTAAATATTTTTAAGTGAGAGTTCGTTGCCTTAAATGGTTTACTTGTGTATAACATATACAGTACACCGGGACTCACTCAATAAGGTATTACCCAATACACTCATACTATATATTATATACCTGTGTGTATATACCTGTAATTGGTGTGTGCGGTGATCTCTTAGTTGACTCTGTGTTAGCGGTCTATGACATGACAGTGTAGCAGAAAATACATCAAATATGTTGATTGTCAGCCAGTTTTTTCATATAGTCTATTGGTTTACACCCATTGACAACATTGGCAACACTGACAATGAAATTTTTCATCAATATATTATCATTTAGTCACTATTGTCTCAAATACATTAACTATACAATTATAATGTCGTTTCTAGTAATGACAGTCCAATCAAATCATTATTTTTTATATTTTATTACATTTTTTATTTTCATTGTTTTGCATTACAGAACAATTTGTTATATTATTTTAAAAATATAATTTTGTTGACTAATGTTATTTATGTCATTATTTTTTAATATATGATATATATATACTATTATTTCATATTAGCAATATTAAATATTATGCAATTAAGTGAACATTAGTATCAAAATTCTTCTACAGTTAGTATTTTATTTAAATTTCTATTTATTAAATATCATTTTTTATTTATCAATTAATTATTTTACAAATAATATTATATTTTCATTATATTTATATATTTTAAATATCTACTTATATATTTATTTAATTATAAATTTCAATAAATAAAATCAATTTAAACACGCAATTCTGAAATAACATATTATTAAAGATTGCTAATTATTAATATTTTATTTAAATTGTAATAACATTTAATATATTTTAAACTTTTTCAAAAGTTTTCAAACAAATTAATATGAATCTTACATTATATTGAAATTAGTAATTTTATTTTAAAATTGTATATTAATTGATTCGATGATATTTCGAATAACTATCAAATTTAGAAGCGATACTGTAGTTAAAATTATTATTATTTTCAATATATCTATTCTCATAATAACTAGTTATTATATACTGAATATTAACAGTAGACATATTTAATTATAGGTTTAGACTAAATTAACTAACATACATTTTTAACAATTACAAATATTTTAATAAATTTTTAAAGTAAATTATTTATTTTTTAATCAAAATTCTAATAGTATGCTATTTTTATTATAATCATCGAATAAGTACTGTAAAATAATAAAATTATATATAAAACATTAATAAAATTGTAAGTCATAGTTATCCGATAATTAATATACTCTAAATTTTAGAGTCTAAAATGTTTTTAATTAGAATTTTTTTCTAATTTTATTAAAATATCTGATTATTTAAAAATAAAATAAAAATGAAATTTGATTAATTTATTAGATATTATTAACAAAGTTTATATAGTATTTATATAACTTAAATAATAAGTGATTACTTATTTTAAGTCATATATAAAGGTATTTGAGAGTAAATGCTAATTATTGGCATTAATATTATAATGTGTTTGTGATATCTAAAAATTTGGTGGTATTCATGAACCAAACATTTATATATATACAGTGGATATTCTCTCAATCGTATCGTTCATCCAATTCTTAGTTAAAGCTCTCTCTCTCTCTCTCTCTCTCTGAGAGAGTTCAACAAACTTTGAAAGTTGTTTCAGTGATGAGACATTGACCCCAAACACAGTGAACAACACTTGCCATTCAAACAGCATTTATATAATACCAATATTTTTAGTTATTGCACTATATTATACAATATACAAGGTTTTACATCACTATCACAATATCTTGCTATTGGTTTAATAATGATATATAATAATAAAAATTGTTTTTATCTTTTTCTTTATATTGTTTATCAATCATTTATTATTTATCTTTATCAATATATTGCATATTTAATATTTATTTTATAATATCTGATTAAATGTATAATTACAATTGAAGTAATATTTATGTTTTACTACGTATAACTACAGGTGCCATTACATTATAGATTTGTTTAATGTTACTTTATTTGATGTCATTTTCTATTGCACTAAACTTATTGGTAAATATCATCTAATTCTAGATCTAACAGTTATATAATGATTTTAAAATATTTATTTTCCATTATTATTTGAAAAATGTGAAATTAAAGATATGATATAATTTTTAGTTTTTTAAATAATTTATTATATAAACGATACTATACTGTATTCTTGTTTATTTTTATTACAAAATTACAAAAAAATATCATTAAATATTGTATTCAACTCAATAATTTGTTTTATTGCACAAAAAAAGTTTAATCTTAACTTAGATTTGTTATAAATTTATTTATTTAGTATTGATTTTAAATAATTAATTTTTGCATATTTAAAATTTGCATATAAAATGTAATAAATCATACAGTAAATAAAATATTTTAATTTGCATTTTTAGTAAGTAATATCAATCATATTTAATTAAAATAATTTTAGAATATAATGTTAAATGATTTAATGTATTTCTTAAATTGTAATATAAAAATAATATAAAAATAATAACTATAATACAAAATAGTCAGGTGCTAATTATTTTTAAACATAAAAAAATAATATATAATAATATTAAGCATTTAATACATAACTTACTTAATTGTATCACAAACTATTATGTTGTATTTTCGGTTACAATATGCAGTTTTTTTTGCAAATTAATGTATAATTAATTATGCAATATATGCATATATTGTAGTAAAAAAACTAATGTATATAAAATTATTTCAACCAATATTATATAATACAGTATAATATAATATACTGGTTTAACAATGTATTTTAGTTTTAATTTAATAATTTAAATAAATGTGTATTTTAATGACTTAACACAAAAAGAAAACTATTAAATACAGTATTAAGGTTTTTTTTAAATTACATTATATAAATAATTTTTGTCCACAATTTGTTGATTAAGGACTCGTGTTAATTAAACTCTTAATGCACTACAATTAGTAACTACTAATAATTAATTATTAATTATATATAAATAATTTAATTGTTTACAAAAATATGAATGTTAATATCAAATATAAATGAAATACATGTATTAAAGTCAATAATTTAAAAGACTCATTAATTTTTTCACTTAAGTGTCAACTCTTAAATCTTGAGCCTATCATTAATTATAATTAAAATATATAAAATAAAACTTATATTCAAATTTAATATTTTTAAAGCCATATTTATATTATAAAAATAAATATTTTGACACAAACGCTTCGGTGAGGCATTAAAAATTGTAGCGATGCTATAGCTTCAGCACTGGTAGTTGTGATGGACTGAAAAAGCCAATAGATGTTCATCTCGAGGATGGTTTAGGTCATTGACACTAAGTATTGCCTTCAAGTCTTCGATACAGTTATTTCTCTCTCTCTCTCTCTCTCTCTCTCTCTCTCTCTCTCTCTGTGTGTGTGTGTGTGTGTGTGTGTGTGTGTGTGTGAATCAAATTTTACTTTTATGGTTTGCTTTTATTATATGGCTTAAAAATAATGTTTAGCACAAACACAGTTTGTCTCTAACATATACCTTTCTCTCTCTCTCTCTCTCTCTCTTTCCTTTAAATTTTCTGTATGTATGATCAATGAGCCCCTCCTCTCACTCTCATATATTTCTTAGCGACCCAACTATCCCATGAAATAACTACGATATGGTGCTATGGTTTACAGCTATTTCTAGTAACAGTGAACAATGTATGATCAGTGATCACACAATTTACTACTCTCTCTCTCCCGCTTTCTACCTCTCAGACTATCATCTATTGAAATAAACATTTATTATTGTAAAAATATTTGCAAAATTTTTAGGCATTTAATATTATTCATTGCATTAAATATAGAGATTTAGGAAAAGTTGCAAAATTAAAATATATTTAATTTAAGCATAATTAAAATAAATGTTAAAATATATTTGTGTTTGAATTTTTTAGACATAAATTAAAAATAGTTATTAAAAAATGCTTTCAAATACTTGAAATACATATTCAACATTAATTTGTTAATTAAAAAATTTTCACAATTTTATTATAATTTTTAAATTACGGAAATATACGTTTTATGAATAACATAATTTAATATTTATGAAATTTCCTTTAAATTTTTATTTTTAATGCACTTACCTGTTAGCAAATTTCTTGTCTTTTGTTACAAAAAAATAATATGTATTTTATTAGTTTCATGTTTTTATATTATAAAAAATAAAACTAGTGATTAAATAATATTAAATTGTGAATGAAGAATGATATAATAATTACATTTATTTTATTAAATCATTTTGAAAATATTAATTACATCAAAATTATTGAACTTTATTATATAGCAGATTATAATCTGTATTATGTTTTTGATTGAAAAGTGGGAAAGAAAAATATCATTAAGTGAATAAACAAACAACAAAACAATGAATATATAATTATTATGTTTATAATAGCATTAAAGCCCTTATAACATAATACGGGTATAACATTATATAACAATTTATGAGATAAGACATTGAAAAGCAATATAAAACTAGATTTTAAAAGACAAACAAAAAATAAGATGTAATATAAGTGTTTTGGTACCACTCAGTGATAGTGAACCACACGGTTAGTGATGACCATTGGTTCCTATGAAAAGAGAAATTATAAGCTACTTGTTTTGCATAGTATATAAAATACATGTATGCCATACATGCTATGTCTGCTTAACTAAGAATTAGAAGCCCTGTGCCCCAGACTACAGGGGCTCTCAGGGCATCAAAAATGAAATGAAAATATTATATACAAACAGGGATAAGGAGACGAAAAATAGAGAGGCATTACAACAACAACAACAACAATAATAATAATATTTTCAAGTTATAATTTTTAATAAATACTAATTTATAATTGTTAAGATATTTTTTATTATAAAATATGGTAAAAATTTTGAATAATTTCTATAAATGTAAATTATAGATATATTTTATTTAACAAAAACCAGCTTTTTATTGATAGTTAGAATTATGAAAAATAAACTATGCGGAAGAAAACATAATAATAATAATAATAATAATAATAGTTATAATTATCATTAGTAATGTAATGAACAGTATTGATAAAATATTTAATTTTATTTAATAATATTTAATAAAAATCAATTGCAAAATAGGAAAGACTAGTTTCTTAGATTAATTTCGCTCTTTTAATATAAATTGATAAAAATATTTTATTTGCATTTATGGTTTCTTGAGATAAAATTAGCATAAAAATGTTTTTTAATGATTTGAAGTTTTAGACAATATTTATTTCAAAATAATATGCTAATATTATACTTATTTTAAAATATAGTCATTTTTTTTTTAATTAAATTTTATAATGAAATTGAAATTTAAATGTTGATTGTCTTTTGATAATTAAACAATTAAAATCAATTTATATGATTTTAGTGGTCTCAATACATTTACAATGGTGTTAATCACCATTTATATGGCTTAATAAACAAGTGGCCCAAATGAGACCCAAAAAGATTAAGATAATGTTTAACACAAATATATGTAATAAATGCTGTAATGTCCCGATTATCTCAATAGTCACATATGATATCTCTGATACAGTATATCTAAGTATTTCATTGCACACATTATTATTTGTGTCCCGCTATTGGAGGTCAACCCGGAAATGAAATTATTAAATGTTTGCCATTTCACTCTCTTTTTATTTATATTTTGCTTATTATGTGTTATTATACTAAATAATACTTATGATACAGTATTTAATATAATATATATAATATATATATATATTATATACTGTAAGTATATTTTGCGCATATATTCATCGACTTGTTTTAATTTTTTCTTCTAATTTTTGAAATTTTTGTTTTTATTATACCTTTCTCTATATAGATAATATTTAAGTTAAACTAATTTATTAATATTATTATTGTTGTCATTACATATACAGTACGTAACTATTTAACATTATATTATATATTAGTATTACTATATAATAATATACTCTACTTTACATATATTTAAATTTTCAAAAGATAAATTAAGGCCAAATTGTACATTAAATTAATATAAATATTATTTTGATATTTAGTAATATTTTTATAATTGTATTTTATTTAACAAAAATATATTGTTCTTTAATTTTTATATTCTCAATTATTCAAATTAAAAATATTTAAATCGATAATTAAGTTTTAAACAAATAATATTTAAGTGTATGTATGTATGTATGTATGTATGTATGTATGTATGTATGTATGTATGTATGTATGTATGTATGTATGTATGTATGTATGTATGTATGTATGTATGTATGTATGTATGTATGTATGTATGTATGTATGTATGTATGTATGTATGTATGTATGTATGTATGTATGTATGTATGTATGTATGTATGTATGTATGTATGTATGTATGTATGTATGTATGTATGTATGTATGTATGTATGTATGTATGTATGTATGTATGTATGTATGTATGTATGTATGTATGTATGTATGTATGTATGTATGTATGTATGTATGTATGTATGTATGTATGTATGTATGTATGTATGTATGTATGTGTGTGTGTRTGTGTGTATGTATGTTAAAATAATAAGCGTTAAAACTATAATATAATATAATAAAGTGTTGCTTAAAAATTTTGCTCATTAATTTATTAAATACAATTAATCTATTTTTTTGTAAATACTAACCATTTTATATATATAATTTGGTAAATTATTATTATACATTTTTACATTAAATTGTTTTAATAATACATTATAAATGAATAAATAATAAAAAATATGCCATTAATAGATAAAATTAGAAAAATATAAAAAACAGTAAAATTAAATAGTGAACAATACAAATGTTGTTTTAAATTTTTGATTTGATGTTTAAAAAGTGTACATTTTAAAAATGTATCACTAAATTAATATATAAATAATAATGTCATTTAATTGATATTAATATATATTATTTATTATACAGATTCACATCACAATAGTTTTGCTGCGGCCGACTCTAACAGCAATACTCCGACCAAATCATTTGTTCCGTGCAAAGTGTGCGGCGATAAGGCATCCGGTTATCACTATGGAGTGACCAGTTGTGAGGGCTGTAAGGTATGTGTGACAAACCATGTTATAGTTTTAATATTACTATGTTTGACCATATTTTTGCTAAATTAAAGTAGACTACAATCAATTAAAAATAATAAATTATATGTTTACTCAGTAAAAGACTTTTCATTTCTAAATATTTTTCAAATTATTTATGTGTTAATAAATTATTAATAATTAATATTGTAAATATTTAATAGTATTTTAAGTTAGATTTATGATTAATTATTACGAGAAATATATTTTTTGTTTTACTGTTATATTTAATTCCGGTTTTCTCTAATTTCATGTATTTTTTCCACTAATTTATGAATTTTTACTAAAAAAATAATAGTTATTGTAATAACAATAATAATAAATTTGCAAAATTACTAGTATAATGTTATATTTAATTATCAATTTTCTTAATCAAAATAAAATGAGATCTAATTGATAGCCAATAAACGATTATTTTGACCTAAATCTTGTTAAGCTAAGTTATCATTTAAAAAACTAAACAAAATTTCAATACTGTGATTATACTGTATTATAAGTACAAATTATTAAATATTGTACTATAATTTCTCAATTCAATTAATTTTTTTTATTTGAAAATTTCGTTTTAAAATATTTTTATTAATTTAAAGGATTATGAGTTTGTGTGTATGTGTGTGTATTTGTATACACAATTCTAGCTTAAATTGTGTTATATTAATGTTTATATTAAATAAAACACTATTTAGATATCTTGTCAGATTGAAACACACACACACAGACATACACATACACATACACATACACATATACATACACACACACACACACAGACATACACATACACATACAAATTTACAAAACATCATAAACATTCATAACTGAAAGTTTCACATGAATTGAAAAGTTATGCCAAATGAGGTCATACTCTATACTATAGCCTATAAATCGAAAACTTGAAACACTTTATAGTTTTGAAACACTTCCTAATAAATTATATAACTTTCACTTTTGCTTTCAATTACAAGTTTAAGTTGTATTCAAATTAACACTGAATACAGTGATCATAATATAACCGGAATTGATGTGAATCGGTGCCATTGGGTCGCCAATGGGTCGCCAATTGGTGTTTAAGACTAGTTGTTGCTGTTGTTTATGAAAAAACTATAATATTTCTTAAGATTTTATTTGCCAATTGGTCTTATCATATATTTTATAATTAAAAGTCAATTTTATATACTCTCCAATGCATATTAACTATATAAACCTAATTTCACTTTATTTTCTTTGAATCTTTAATTATTGTTATTATTCATATTATTATTAATAATAATAATATTTATATTATATAAATATTATATTGTATAAATAATATAGAAAATTCATAATTCATGTTATTTTTTCTATCTAGAAGTCAGTCTTAAATAAGTTAATAACTTTTTTGTTTTGTTTATTTATTGTTAAATATTATATGTTTTTATTGAGTTCACGCCAATAGACATGCAAATCGGTTAGAAAACTCGTTGATTTTTATTAAGCAAATCTTATTATTTACCCAATGTTTTACATGAAATATAATCTATGAGTGTTTTGTGTTTAATTTGATTAATATTAGTGCAATAACTTTTCAAATAAGATAGCCTTATATATCGTATTTGCCAATTGAGTAGTAGTTCTTGTATTTCAACAATTGAAATAAAACAAATAAAATTGCATATAATGTTTCATTTATTTATTATTTATAATTGTTATATCAAAAAATAATAAGTTATATAATACAGTATAATATAGTTATATAATAACACAAACAAAATATTTTTTCATTAATATACTTATAATATTATTAAAATAAATATTTCTATAATTTGTTGTAATTTTTTACATTATGTATTTGAATAAACCATTTCTAATAAACATTAAAGTGCATTGATGTCTAATGTATTAAATAATAAGTTATATAATAGATATATTGTAACAAGGTTATCTTTTAAAAAATATTGATATCTAGACAAATACCAAGTTCAATTATTTCAAAATACAATATATATTTACAATTATATGACAACAATTTAATGATACTAATAAATTGATATAATTATAACTATATATATAAACTCTTAATATTAATCAATTAAATAAATAATTAATTATTGGGCAGAAATGTATAATTAATATTAAATTTAATACAGTAGTGTTGATGATAGGAACGGGTAGTTATGATATAAGGTATGACATCTATGGAGAGTCGGCGTCTCCATAGAGTGTATGCGTGGCTGTAATGCTCTGTAAGGGCTGTGGTGTTGACTGTATCTCTCTTTGTCTACAAAAAAGCTATTATAAAACAATTGATTGGCTTTTTTCATAACAATTTTATATATAATATAATAATATATTTATTTATTTATTTATTTATATTTATTTATTTGTTTTAAACTTAAAAGTTATTTTTATGCCAATATTTATTATTAACATTATATTCTATGTATTGATTAATATTGTCATACATTGAATCCAATGTTTGACAAGTGTTTGATAATATTAAGTGATTTATAATAATCTATTAAATTAATTGTATGTTTTATATATTATTATATTATATTTAAATAATTAAATTCATTATTTATTATTAATTAATTTATTAGTATTATTGTTGTGTTTTGTTGTAAAATATATTTTATTTGTTTCAAAAAAAGTCAATAACTAAAAATTATTACTAAATATATATATATATAATAATAATAATAATAATAATAGTATATTAAAAGTATTTATTAATTTATTCACAATATATAAAAAGCTTATTATAATAATTCATACGATTTCTTCATAAATAATAAAACTTTAATATAATCATATGATCTGATTGTTAAGTCATTTAATTTGATTGATTGTCGTCAAAGTATGTGTCAAACCAATTGATTTTAAATTGTCTTAAAATATGATGACTACTAACTGATCCACTATTTCAGGGATTCTTTCGTCGATCAATTCAGAAGCAAATAGAGTACCGGTGTTTAAGAGATGGCAAATGTCTAGTGATTCGTCTCAACAGAAATCGCTGTCAATACTGTCGTTTCAAGAAATGTTTGGCCGTCGGGATGTCCAGAGATTGTATGTTTTCGTAACATTATTATCATATAATTTAGTTATACAATGAATAACTGATGCAAACTTTTTTTTGTTAGTTTTAAAAAATGATAGTTAAATACAACTAATAATTGAAAATGATTTCTATATTTTTGTTGTTAAGTTATTTGGCACTTAAATTAATGTGTGATATAAATGTACTTAAATAAGTCTATTAATTATTTTAAGACTTAACTAAGTTTACTATTATATATATTGAAATACTTTCTTATTTATTGTGTATTTATTTTAGAGAGAAAAAAGTGTTAACTTGTGTTTAGATTTAAATAGTTTGCATACAATTAGTTCTTGTTTTTTATATTATTATTATTAATGTCACTTTATTTTTTAAAAATATTTATCTTATAAATGAAACATTAATTTAATGAATGAATGTTAAAGTCAAGGTCTGGATAGGATGGGACCCCCTAAATATATATATATATATATCCTATGTATATATAGGGGGCTGGAGTTTGGCCAAAGGTCTTGCCAGGAGAAGACTGTGTGCCTCTGAGACCACGATTTTATATATTTTTGGCACTTGTTTTGATTTTTATGTCATAAAACTCGTGTTTCACAAAAACATTAGAGACATTGGGATCTAATTTTAGACAACATTTGAATGGCATGACTGTTGAAATGACTGTATGATAAAAAGTGATGCTTTCATAGCCTTAACTCCCAGTCTTTGGCTTTATATTCAACTAACAAATTGATTAATTTTTTTCTCTTTAATATTTTATCATATTTTTTTAGTTTATAAGTGAAAGTTGACCAAATGTATGAATTTAATTAAATATTTTTTGTATACTGTTTTAAGTAAATATTTAAATAGATATGTTTACTTAAGACAGTGTCTTTGAATTAAATAATTTTCAAAGAGTTAATTTAGACATTTATATCAATTAAATCATAAGAAAAGTTAGTATTAAATTAATTAAATAAATATTAAATGATGTGATCTATTAAGGGTACGTTAGGTTACTTACTGTTATATTTGGCAGCAAATCATAAATTTGTTGTCATTTTCTATAAAAAAAATAATAAACAAATTTATTAATATAACTTTGACTAATTATGTTTAAATATGTTATTTTATGTTATTTATTAATAAAATGTATGTTTGACTATAAATAGCTGTTAGATACGGTCGGGTCCCGAAAAGGTCGCGTGAGAGGGGAGAAGAGTCACGGGTTACACAATCAGAAGCAGACCAGTCATCGCGAGACGTGGAGAACAAGCAGTTGGCGATGTATGACATAATCCTAACCATATCACAAGCACATCACGCAAACTGTGCCTACACTGAGGAGAAAACTAGAGGATTGATACGAAAACCAGCTATTTTTGTACGATATTTTACTATTTAATTAGATAACTAATTTAATTGTTGGTTAAATAATTTATAGAGTTTGGATGACTACCAGACGGGTAGTAGTGGTGAGGACACACCGACATCCAACTCAGGGTTAGCGGCCGATTCGTTAGAGCAGAAGAAAATAGTTATGTGGCAACACTTTGCTGTATTGGTGACGCCATCCATACAACGGGTGGTCGAGTTTGCCAAACGTGTTCCCGGTTTTATAGATCTGTCACAAGACGATCAACTGATACTCATTAAGTTAGGATTTGTGGAGATCTGGTTGGTTCACATCTCGAGGATGATCAACACTGTAGACAATACATTGACGTTTGCCGACGGCTCATACATCACAAGACAACAAATGGAGCTCATGTTTGACGTAAGCTTTCATTTCATCGTTTATTTTAATTTAATATTTTATTTCTTTTATTACTTTTATAAATGTTTTGTTTCATTTGTTTGTTTGTTTGTTACTTTATATATTTATATTTTTAATATAACATTATTTATAATATTTTATATATAAATGTTTGTTTGTTTATTTGTTGTGTCTTTTTATGAATGCATACAACAAAAACTTTTTATATTATATAAAACGGATTTATCGGAGATTATCTGAAATCTGAATTCGCTGTCTGTTTAATCATAGCATGAATTTGTGGCAAATATTTTCAACTTTATGGTTGTGTTAAACAATCTTCAATTAAACGACACCGAAATTGGTCTCTTCGCTGGAATCGTTTTACTACAATCAGGTATTTATTATCATTTATTATATTTATATCCATGTCTTATATAAACAATTAGTTGTAAATTACAATTTATAATTCACAATATACTAAACCAGGTTTATAATTAATCTTAAAAATAGATGTTCAAAAATTATTTGTCAATTTTTAAGCAAATTAATTACACATTTTTTTGATTAATGATTTCCTAAGGTTTTTGTTGATTCACAAGTTTACGAAATATCTGACACTAATGTCTTATTTATTTAAACTAGTTTTAAGCAAATATAATAAATTATATATACCTGTAGTTTAAAATTATCATAATATAAATGTATGCATATCTTATAACCATATAATGTAGTCATAATTATGTTTTCCTTTAATAATTATTATGAATTGCAAAGTAATGGTAACTTATTTTTGTGGTTTAAAATGTTTTTTTTGTCTCATATGATTACAATTATCAAATCTATCGATAAAAATGTTTATTAATATTTTTTTAACAAACCATTGAACGGTTATTGTGCTCACAAGTGATATGATTAGCCAGTCATCAGATATTGATATAATGTGCTGACTATCGACAAAAAAACAAGTTTCCCATTAAGATTCCCATTTAGTTATCTTGATCTTTATGGACTTCAACTAATTTTAGGGTTAGGCCAATAAAGTTATTGTTATTATAAAGTTATGTTCTCTATAAAAAAAATCCAACTTATTTATTATTATTATATTTTTATGAGTATTATATTTAAAATTGAATCATAAAATATTTTAAAATAAAGGGTTATATATATATGTGATTTTTAATATTTAAAAAGAGCTGATATTATATAAATATAATAGAGATGTTATGCAATGTTTTTGAAAGTTCTCTTCCATTAACCTTCGCTTTTGTTTAACAATTATAGCGATATTAATGTTTCGTGACTTTTATAGCTTTATATATACTTTATTTGGTTATGTCTTATGGCAGTAAAACTGTAAGCATTTTTCTCAGTAAAATACATTTATTTTGTTAGAAATAGTGTATTTTTATTATATGATTTAGTTTTTTATGTATACAATTTGCCCAAAAGTTGAAACATTTTGATTTCTAAAAGTGTAAATTTCCAATTTGTAAATATTATTTTAATAGTATTTTTTAAAAGCTATTTGTAGACCTAATCTCACAATTGTATTGCTCTCTCCAGATATTTTAAGTTTGTATCGTTTTTTTAAAGAAAAAATATTTGATTTTATTTTAGAGTTATCTTTGTTTTTTTATTAATAAATTAATAGAAAAACCTGATTTCCAACTTTGTTTTTAGCCATAAAATGCATAAATAATCTAATAAAAAGGTCAAAATATTAATTAATTAATTATCTAAAATATATTAAAAATTTAATTATTAATATGAGTCTAATGTTAATACAACATTTAATGGTTTAAATTTGTTAAATTAATTTTAATTAAATTCTAATATTTTAAAAACAATTGAATGTATTTGTAAAGAAATTTTACTCTACTTTGTAATATAATTAGAAGCAAACAATTTTTATTTTTTATATATTATTAAAAGCATATTATATATTATTGTATATTTAGATGTATTATATTGTAATATAAATCGTAACAATTTTACTCAATGACTATCATAAAAGAAATAATATTTTTATGTTGTAATCATATATTAATAAAGATTTTATGCGAGAAGATGTCATTAAGAAAATCAAATATAAATATTGAAAGTTTATATAAATATTAGTTATATAAACATCAATAAACTAATTGAGTTTTAACATTGAATTACTTGTACAGAGAATGCATGAAAATTCAATGAATGCTGGCTTTTGGTTTAAAATTAACTTAAATACAGTCATTATATTTGTGTCATTAAACCAATACATCTTATAATGAATAATAGTTAATGTTTTATGGCATTTATATAACTTGTAGAGTATATACAGTATATATTAGATCTTAGTATAGATTTAAAGTTCAATAGATTTTTAAACATTTCAATGAAAGCATTTGCAATTAATTTTTGTAATGAACATCAATTTGAATTGAGATATTTATGAATATATTTTACTGTATATATATATATATATATTAGATTTTAAAAAATATATTTCTAAATAAATTATTTTATGAATAATTTGTTCAACAGAGAGGTCGAGTATTTATGATACGAAAGCCATAGATCACAGTCAGGAGAAGCTTATGGAGGCATTGAAGTTGCAGATGGGACGCAACCACCCGAGCGAACCGCACACATTTCCCCAGCTTATGATGAAACTACAAGAGCTACGATCCCTGGGACTCAAACACGCGCATCATTTGCAATGGTTTAGATCCAATTGGACGCGACTTAAACTGCCGCCACTTTTTGCCGAAATTTTTGATATACCGAAATGCGATGAAGATATGGTAGTCCAATAAATACCATATTTGTCAACCATCTCTAGTAAAGTCTACTTATTAATTATGGTTTGTTATTTTAATTTATTTATTTAATAAAACAAAGTAACTTATTTTGTTTTTTTTTTAATTATTTTCAGTCAATTTTTTGGTGATCTTTTAATATCTAAGTAAATATAGAAATGTTTGGTTAATTTAATGGTAACTAAATTTCAACGAATGGTTATTTATATATATATATAATGATAGAAGAGGTTAAATTAAAATCTAATAGTATATTATAATAATTGAAATATTAGTATAGCGTTATATATATAAGTTATATATATATTATATAAATTTAATGAAAGCAACAAACGATTCAATGAAAACAAATAATTGCATTATTCTTGTCTTTACTCGTCATTTGTCTCTTCTTGAATTTGAATGGTTTGTTTTGAATCATGAATTTTGAATATCAATTATTATTTATTGTAATTATAACTAAATAATTATCTGACAAATCGGTGAATTTTTAAAAAATATTTAAAATTATTGATGAGATGATACTTAAAAATTAGTGTTTTTTACGGTGACATATGTTTTATTACAAATCATTACAGTATAGCTCTTTATACAAGCGTTTATCATTAAATCAATTGATATATCATTTATTTTTAATTTTGTATTTTTCATTCTTCGATAAAATTTATTATTATATTTAAACGGTCGAAGAAATCGTTATGAAAGTCCATAATTTTTACACAAATAATTTGATTATTATTATTATAAATCGATTCGTTTTTAAGAATCAAGTTATCAGCAATTTTTTTTGCGTACATTTATTATTATATTAATAGTTATAATAAATATATTATTATATTTATGATTTTAAAAATTCTAAAAACTTGTAAATCTTTTAAATAAAAATATTCACTGTATTATCACTTTTGTATTTTTTCTCACTTTAATAATTCTTAAACTAATATTATATATACAAGAATTAATTAGTATATGATATATAATCTAATAATCTAATTAGATATTACTTTAAATGTGCATTATTTTTTTGTTTTATGTTTTATATTTTATAGAGTTTTTATATAGAGATTTTGTTTTTATATACAGTATATATATATACATAATAATTGATATATAAATTGATATATTTATATATCAATACATAATGATCACAAATAAGGTGTAGGGTTTCTCAAAATAATAAAACTGAGAAAAATTTGACATTTGTTTAATTATTTTCATGTATTTAAATAACTATTCTAAGTATTTGACAATTCATTTATTTATGTTTATATTTAGTGGAAAAGTATGTCTTTCTTATGGTTTTTCACTTTAATTTGCACTATATTTATGTATATTTATTATAATGTGAGTCAAAATTTATATTATTTATTATTCTTAATCTTATTTAATTCTTATTAAGTTATTTGTGACTTATTTAAATTATTGTACAATTATATAATATTTTTTAATATTAACATTATATAAAAATAAATATAATGAAGATTATATATATATATATATTTATTTATTTAGAGTATTGATATTAAAAAACAAACACAACCAACAAATTACTGCCAATTGTGAACATTCCCTCCCCATTAAAACTTTAGACTCATATTTGACTTAATTTATGCATTTAAATCATTTAACTTACGCACCAATTAATGTTTGCTTAAATGTACTGATGTTTACTATAATTATATATATATATATATATATATATATATATCATATTGGTAAACTTGTCGGTTATAAATAATTATTAGCACTTAAAATTTGTTTTATTGTATAATAATTTTATTAAAAAATAATTGATATTTAGTTTTTATTAAATATCAACATTTATTGTAAACTATTGCATAGAAAATTTATATATATATAAAATTCACCACAAGTAATGAATTGTACAAATTTATTACAAATATATAAAATTATACATTGATTTGTTAATGGCTTTTATGCAACTTTTTTAACGATTTGATAATTTTTAAAAATCACATTCCATTTGGTGTCAAAGGTTTTACACAATTTTTTATATAACATTAAATTCATGTATTATTGCTATTTGCTATTATTATAAATTTAAAAAATGCTTATGCTTTTTATTATTATATAAACATATTTGTATTAATTATTTATTTTATAGATTTTATATATAATTACTGTCTGTTTTTCAAATGATAATCTCAATCATTTACATTCATTGTATAAAATATAAAAGTTTTGTCTGTTATAAAACAAATTTGAGCCAATTTTTCGAGATTTGAATTTTCCTAATTGAGGTCACATTATCTAAACTTACAAAATGTTAACAAAATTTTTTTAACTATTGTATATTTAAAAAATTACTAATATAATTTTAACTATTGTTAAATTATTCATTATTAAAATTTTAATGTTAAAAGTAAATCCTGTAAATATATTTATTAACTAATTTATTAATAGGCAAACTGTTCCCTCAAAAATATATATATAAATATATATATAATATTTATTGACAATAAATACAACTCTCGAAAAATGGGCTTTAATTTTATCGAAAGTGTAATTTGTTTCGGATTAATTAATTTGAATTTCAATAAAATTATTTGACAATTATTGTTGATTTAATTCACTTTTTGAAATAATTATATAAAAATTTATATATAGAATTTTATTTAAATCGTTAACTTTTTAAATTATACAAATTTTAGTAAATATAAATATAAAATATTTGTTTAAAATCATTAATTAATACTTTGAATGATTGTATTAAAAATTTTATCTAGAATTATTTAAAACATATAAAAATATTTGTAAATATATAACTTTTATAAAGAAAAATTAGCAAACTTTACAATATTTGCAAAATAAATATTTATAGATTGCGTTTTAAAGGCACGATTAATTAGTTAAAAAACAAAATATCAATAGTAGTAAATAATATTTAAGAAATAAATAATAATAAATATTTTAGAATCTAAGTAAATAAATATAAGTATAATTTCTTATTAGAGTTAGTTATTAAACATTATATTAATGCATATAAATATATATGAAAATAATAAAACTTTTTTATATTAAAATAGACTAATTTCCTTGAAGTGCAAACCAATCACAAGTTTCACGTTTTAAATTCAATTGATTTAGAATTATATGCGTTCCGCCAATCAATACATTTTCAGTGACTCTATCGTAATCCCAAACAGAAACCTATCGATAATTCATATAAAAATAATTAGTAATTATTTGTCATTAACTTTACTACACTTATAAACCTGAAGTGTCTTTTGTTGAAGTTTTTCAATTGGTATTCCGTGATAAACAATCATTTCCATGAATGTCGGATGACATGACTTATTAATGATACGCGTCTTGCGTTTTGTCACTTTACTTGGATCAGGATTAAGATAAGTCTTAACGTAACAATCGGGTGCAGTTGAACGGCATGATTGCAAGTTCTTGGCGTGCATTATCATAATGACTAAAGACATATTCTTGTAGACAATGGACAACTTCACCTGACCAGTAATCGTTGGTCCATAAAGTGTGTCACGACGTGATACTGAATGAGGTGTTGACGGATAAATGTGACCTAAAATAGTAATAATATTATTACAATATAAAACTTTTTGTCCAAACATTAGGCAAAGTTTAAATCAATCATTAATTACTTGAAGGCGAAGCTATGTTAATAGTAGTCGATGTGTTAACTCCCTCCTGATCTCTGAGCAATGGATGAAAAAATGTATAAACAATGTCTGAGTGAGATATTTCATGAGCCAAACGCATTAATCCCGACACAAATTGCTTGATTTCGTGCATTCGTTGAACGGCTACATCTCTAGTGTTTGAACGGATCAAATTCGAAGATCGCGGTAATACATGAAATTTCGCCAAAGGATACAAAACAGTGATCTTATCATTGAATTCAATGAATTCTCTATACGATCGGTGAATAAAACTGGGGTCGGGTTGGAACTGTCGATCAACTCTAATACTATAGTAATAGACTTTTTCCTGTTCGTACTTCTTATAACAGTCGACCACTTCAAGCGCCGTAATCTCTCCGTCCGATTCTTTGGTAAACTTTTTGGGTATAAATGATAATAGCATTTGATCGTTATGGTCACCAGTAAACCTATTTTCACAATTCAATATTTTTCAAAATTTATTATTAAGTTTAAAATTTGTAATCACATTCTGTTTACTACTACAACAGTTAATACCTTAATTGTGCCAAATTGTGAATAAAAAAGTTAAATTTAGTAAAACGTGATCGCAATGATTCCTCAATCATACGAGTAAACTGAGACATGGCTTCAGATTCACTTAATCCAGGCATAAGTGCTTTATGAATATATCTGATGGCTTCAGTATTAAGACCAGAGATACGCGATGACATCATCAATGAAAACAAAGATAACAAAAAATTTGCGTTACGTCGCAAACAGTTAAACGATTGACAACAAAGATCAACAAAAAATTGAAACGCTTTCGATGGCTTATCACCGCCATTGATGACATAAGCCATATCTTGAGTTAATACAAAGGCCACCCGATCTCGTTTTATGCCTTATTTAATATATTTACTATTAATTTATTAAATAAATTATATATTATTGAAGACATACCGGCCATCATTTGCGCGTCTCCCAAAAATTTGCCGAAATCAATGTGAAACAAATGTCCAGAAGTTGTAAGCATTATATTATCATTATGTCGATCACAAATACCCAACAAATATGTGGCCACAGAATATCCGGCACAAGAATAGGTAAAATTCTCGACTGCGTTGTGATACTCGAGTTCAGATGTGTTATGCTTTTGTAGCCATTCATAAATGGGTCGATCTTTGAAAGAACCGGTCAATCCATGCTCTAACTGAATCTTACGCAGAGTTTCACTATAGCGAACCATTTCAATAAATCCTTTACGAAAATCAGTGGCCATACATCCAAAGGTCACCATTCGTAGATCTAAACCCTCTTTAAGCCATACTTTATCCATAATCTGAATCATTTGCATCGATAGCATATCCTGTCTTAAATCGTCACCGACCTTAAAGATCGCCTCAAGTGACGAAAAAGATGTTTTTGTGTCAGGATTTTTGAACACAAGTTTTAACGGCAAAGAATTAGATGGAAAATATGAGCAAAGTTTTACATCAATACTACAGACAAGCATTGATGGAGTCAATGGCAAAACAGTTGGATTTTCAATCTATAATATTTTAAACAATAAAATTAAGATTTATTTATATTTTGTTAAATAATAAGTCAAATAACAAACCAAATAATCGTTAACTGATTCCAATTCGTTTAATAGTGTTGTAAGCCGTTGTGATTCTTTAGCAGTCTTGACGTGATCGCAGATCTGTGAAAGTGATCGACAAAGATATTCTTGTCTATCAATCATCAAATTTGTCGATTTGCCTATTATTGCCAATAATGAGTTCAAATATATTCGAGACCGATATGTAAACGTTTGGTCATTAATATTGCACTTAAGGATCCAATAGAGATGATGACAAACACGAACAGAAGTCAATGCACTCTCCAAAAGAAACCAAAACAACGGCGAATCCATATAAGCGTCAAAACTATAATATTTATCGTTAATATTATTAATAATGAATTGATGAAAATTAGTAATATTTATAATAAATTATGTAAATTAATTGACTCACCGCAGGGCTTGAATAAGTTGTGGCATAAAATCGCACAACTCATCCGAAGTTAGCTTTTTAAGCCATTTAACAGTTATTTGTCTGACATAAATATCTGGATAAGAGGGCATCAATAGTTGCATTGAATCAATAGGTGATAATTGTGACCAATGTTGCATCATTTGATAGATATCGCTCAAAGCTGTCGGTTCCCAGGAATGTGACGCCAAAAGTACTTTAGGAAGAGCTTCGGGACAATCATAGAGATAATACCTTCGATCCCATAGTTGTTCTCTTTCACCACAAGACATTGTCTCTAATGGATTTCGTTTCAACAATTGATACAATTCTGTCTGTGTGGCCGAATCCAATGAATTAATACTTCGCCTAAGTTTAGAAGCATCACTAGATTGATCCCAAATAATTGCTGGAAATCGAATTTCGAATTCGGTTTCGGGAAAACAGATGTGAACAATTGGATTGGTTTTTTCGCAACAAAATGAGTTAATAAGTTTGGCATCGGTTTCAATTGAAAACTCTGGTGAATTTATCCACAATGGGATCAAATATTGTCCATCAACTAAGACTTGTTTGTGATCAAACAACTGCAAATATCCAATACCCAACTCTTGAGTAGCAACAGTTATTTTATTATCTTGACCAGTTCCCGATGAAACTGTTGGTGGCGACGAATTACCATCAGTTTGTGATAAATTTTTTATGCCAATTAAAGTGATTTCAAGTTTAACTTCACGAGGAAGATTAAATATGGGCCAATCAAATGGCAACCATTCATCAAATGTCAAACGATTAAATAAATACTTAGTCGTACTGACAGTTTTGGTGGTAGCCGTCGATAGATTGTGATCGCCGTGAATCAGTCGAAACCTTAACTATCGTTCAAAATTTAATTAATTAATTTATATATATATAATATACAAATATTTCTTATTTACTTTATACTCCTTGAAAGTGGACATCCATTCTGGTTGTAATTGACAACAAACCCCAATATAACATAAAAGAGTGTCCATTGATGAAGAAATGTCTTTTTTGGTTTTTTTCTTATTCCTGAGTAAATCGCAATCAATTTCAAACTCAACGGGAAATGTTTGCGAATAGATATAAATGAGTTGTATTAAAGCTGTTCGCAATTTACACAATGCATTATCTAATATCTCCCATAATTTTGCATCAAAATCTGGTATTTGTTTTATTTTAATATCGTTTGTGTTATCATTTAAGGCAGTTATTGAATCCCGTTTATATGTCCCAAATGCGTTACATAATTGTGAAAAATTTACGGCCGATTCCGTTAACGCTATTGTCTCTAATGATGATAAATGAGTACAAATGGCTTTCACTGTCTGAATGATCGATTGTGACTGTAGTTGTCCACCACTCGACACTTCAAAATTAAAATCAAATCAAATTAAATAATTAAATTTAGTTAGAAATTAATAAACACATACTCCTAGCGTCGGCTCTCAGTTTGCTTATCTCTCGGTCAAAGTTTTCGAGTAAAATATTGATAGTTTCTGTATTTAAATCACTAAATTTCCATATAATTGCTTTCGGAATAATCTCATCGACGGTAAAGTCAATGTTATTGTCGTCAATCATTGTTCGAGCAAACAGTCGATTCAATTCTCTTATGTAAACTAAACTCAAGTGAACATCTTTATCGAATTTCAGACATTGATGAATATACAGATAATTGGCTAATAATGAATCGGCTGCAAAATATTCTGTTAATCCGTAAACTTTTAGTACATAATCGTCCATTTTTACCTAAATTGCCATTAAAAAGATATTTATCGAAACATAACATTCAATTGTAATCTTCAACTCACATTAGATGCATCTTCAACAAGAGTACAGATAACATGCGATATAATGTGCTCTATACTGGTCTCGACATTACAAGTAAAAGAAACGGGTTGTTGGGATAGTTGTGTTTCAATAATAAGTTTAACACTTAATGAAGTATCCCGTTGTGAGTCCAGAGTAGGAGATATAACAAGTCCTGAATTACTAATGTAATCATTATATTTAAATTGTTGTCTTAAAGCAATGAGTTGAGTACTGAAATTGTCCAGTTCTTCATTAGATCTACACTTCTTTGTTGTCACACGAAATGGTTCATTAATATCATTATAACTAATTGTATCCTTATTTTTATCGTCTTTTTGAGCTTTTATATCTTTTTTACTCTCCTTTTGGAAATAACAATAATTTAGTTTAAGATCATTGTTTTATTTAATAACTTAACAATACTAACCATAAATGCAGACTGTGGTTGATCAACACTAACCATTGTTTGCGATTTCATTTTGCCGATGACATCGTTGTCTGTGTTATCTGTTTCATCCAATTCAAAATTATTGGAAAAGTTTAATTCATTTTCATTGTTTTCATCTCTAAGACTCAGTGGATCAAACAATTGAAGTACATTTTTATTTTCGTTATCATTTAAATCAATTAAGTCTTTGCTTTTTGACTTTGAATCGCTGCTGACGAGCGTTTGGTAAACATTTGAGTTACCATTAGTGACAAGTTTTTTAATGTCTTCAAAAGTTGTTGAATTTGATGTCATGGTTTGTTTGCTATCGTTGGTTACAAATGAATAATTATATGTTGTGTTTGAGAAACCATTACTGGAAAAAGTTGGAGCCGAAAGACTATGAGATAATTGTGTGGCAATCGGTGCCAATCCATGCACTGGACTAACAGGTGATACCTATTAATATTAATAAGTTTTGTTTAATAATGTTTAGCCACTTATCAATAATATACTATTAAAAGCTAATCATAAAAGCAAACAAAATGAATCAATACTCCGGCAGATGAAGAATAAGAATAATTAAAGAAAGCGGACGTGCGGTTAGTTGCAGACACTGAGGGACCACTCATTGACCACATTGAAGGACGTACTGTTGGAGGTGGCGGTTGAGTCATTAAACTTGTTGGACAAACACTTTGGTTTTGCCATTGAATATATGATGAATTATTGGCTGTCGAAGACATCGGCGGCGGAGTTGCCAATGATGTTGTCACTGGTCTTGTTGTAGACCATTGGTTATTGTTGAAGACGGTGTGTCCCGCAAATTGATTGGCCAGTAATGAGTTGTCATTTTGGTTGCAATCCATCCGAAGGTTTATTAAATCATTATATTTTGAGTGCTGTGGCGGCGGAGGAACCGATTGGAGAAGTTTGGCGTCCGATGAACTTACCGTCGATTGTGGACTCGACGTCGATGCGCGTGACGACGAGTGGCCAACCATTGATATAACACAACGTCGCGGAGGAAGTGGCGGAACTGATCCTAAATGACAATCAAAACAATTATATCATTATATTTAATGACATATATGTTGACAAACAAACCATTGTTTTGATTCATAGTTTGTCAACAATTCATGTCTTGACTTGAGTTTGACTTTTGTTTACAAAAATATATGACTTCTTCAGCAAAATATAAATTTATTTATTTATTTCAATATATATTCAATTGATTTATATATAATATATGTATAGAAAAATAATTTATTATATATAAAACTAATATTCACTTTAATTGTTATAAAAATATAATAATATATAAATAAATATTTAATTAATCAAAACAAATGTCATTTTAGTGTCAATTCATTTGTTAACCTTTTGGACCAAACAATCAAACATTTGTTTAGTATTTTCATTATTATTATTATTATTATTATTATTACTGTTGTGTTGTGATTACACTCTCTTATCATTGCATTTCATTCAATGATGTCATCAATGACTCTATTATTGGTTTTTATAGTAAGAAAAAGCCTTAACTTTAAGTGAGAGAAGAGATCCCAAAAAATCAATTAATTCTTTGAATTTTATATTTTTTTATTATTAAAAAATAAATTACAAAATGATATCAAATTCATCGATGATTTGTTTTTTTTATTAATAATTGTATCGTTAATAGGGTGTCGGCTATACATTGATAAATAAACTTTTTAATTTATAATTAGATCACCAAATCTAAGTCAATGTAATTAAAAATCACTAAACAAGTTACTAAAAATTACCCTAAAGTTATCTATATTTTAGTAAATATTTTTTAGTAGATTAAATTATTATTAAGTTTAAAATATTATAACAATTATAAAATCTCAATAGACTTTATTAGATCAATCCATTAAATCTTAAAAATAATTTTAGTACATGTAAAAATTAAATACAATTTATATTTTAAAGATTTGCAATCATAATAACTACATTTTACTAATTTTATCGTTTTAATAATTATGCAATTAGTAAATGTATTGCAATTAAGCAGATATACAATCATTGTTTTAAGTTAACAGTTTAATATTGAAATAAATAATCTAAACAACTATACAATTATATAATTTGGAAATATTTGTATTTTTGTGTATATTTCCGTCACACAAATAATTACTTTTAATGTGTCTCCAGATTATTAATAATTATTAATTTATTAAATATACGTTAGATCTCCACGTAATAAAATGTAGCATGAGCAACATGCATAAGAAATAGTTAACACGTGCAACAATACTTACGCGCTTTCAGTGTATTATAAAAAGTATATTTTATTTATTTTTTATTTAATAAATTAAAATTATTAATAATCGCCGACACATTAAATTTAATTGTTTGCGTCACACAAATTTGATACAAACATTGAACAAATTATATAGTACTATAGATATATATATACTGTATATATACTGTTTATAATAAACTATTATTAAAACATGGATCTAAATAGTAATTTCATAATTGAAAACACTGTAATATAATTTTAAATCTAAACAATAAAATTATGCAAATATTTTTTATGATACATAATTAAATAATTACTACATTAATTGTTAAAAAAATTAATTTAATATTAAAAGGTTAAGTGTAAAGTTAATTATAGTTAAAATAAAATTGTTAATAATTATATAGCCGTTCACACAAATAATATATTAATATAAAAAATATCCGATATTTAGATGAAAAAGTAATATAAAATGACTTCAATTCAATGCTTTATTTATGAATTTTTTGTTTGTTTTTACACTTTTATAATCAAATATTTTGTTGAATTTTGTGTTTACATTACGCTATTAAAGAATATTCTATGATCTGAATAGTAATTGATTGAAAAAATAAATGTTATTTCACATCAAAAATTACATCAAATAAATATTTTCTATAATTAGGTTTTTAATAATATTTATAACATATGATATACATTGCTATAATTTTACTTAAATTGACAATTAATTATAATTTAATTTATAATTAGTATTAAAATATTGTGTATTTAATATTTGTCCAATAATTTATAGTATTATCGATGAAAATCATTATAAAAATATTTTGAATTATCAAATCTTTTATTTCTAGTAAATAATTGATTTGTGGATACAAAATGATTTAAATAATATGAATATTGATTATTAGTGAATTTTATATTGAATTTTTCAAATACAAAATATGTTAAAATAATTAAACAAAAAAATAATTGTTTCTAAATATTAGATAAGATATGAATATTAATTGAATTGCAATTAATTATAATTGAATTCAATTGAATGCAAATAATGTGTTATTCATTGAATGTTTCAAATTGTAAACGCATGCGCTGTCAATGTATACGGTCTACACATTGACTGAAAAGACAATATTATGATAACATTTAACCACAGTTTTGATCACTTAATTAGTTTGATTTGGAAATCATTTTTCAATTGATATACAATTTAATTATCATTTGAATAACAATTAAATGAAAATAAAGTTATTAAACATTATGTAATACAGTATATCGTAATTCAGTCAAACTGTTGACAAACAACGTTAACACAAAGCAGTCGTTTATTGAAACCCTTAAATGACTTTTGATTTGTAAAGTGAATGCAAATACCGTACTATTGATTGTTTGTCTCACACTTTATCCACAATTATTGTGTTGTCTATTGACTATTGACTGTAATCTTTGCGACATTTGGTGTCCAGCGATGGGAAACCTGTCGTCATGTTGTTTGCCAAAGAAGTCGGACGACGAAATCAACGAAAGGACACACATTTTGGACAATCCCGTGTCTTCACCCGACGGTATCTATCAATTGATGTTTGTATTGATTGTCACACATTGTTGACATTGTTGTTGATCTTTGTTTTAGATGGAAATGATATGCGATATAACAGTTGTTTGCCACCAGTGCTGTCACCGACTTATGGCACACTCAACGGCCGCACAGAACAGAACCAATTAAATAATACATTACACAAATTGGTGGCCAAAGTAATAGACGTGTCGTCCATCGACAACAACATTGAACAAAGCGATTGGAATGAAAGACAACGAACTTATGGCCAACGGTTGGCTAATATCAAGAAACCACTTCTTCTTAAGTCTAAATTGAAGTCTAATACTCAACCGCAAGGTTTGCAAAATTGACATTCAATTCAATGTTAAATCAATTAATTTGAAATGTATTTGTCATTAGTTTCCACATCAATGTCGAGTCGAAATCTAACGATTGAGTTAATCAGTGAAGAAGATCTTAATCTAATCAACTATTTCAGTGAAAAGGCTACGAATGCCGTTCTCAACGGCTTTAAAGTACACTGTGACGAGTCATTTGTCGTCCAATTTGATCCCTGATTTGAGTCACTCATTTGCGATCAAGTTTTATCATCGATGCAACACTTGATTGTCTTTTACTCTTTAGTGTAATTAAGTATATCTAATATTTTTATATTTTATCATTATACTACTACTAATATTATTATTATTTCTATAAATTTAATAAATCGTTAAATTATTAATCATTAAAATCAAGAAATAATTTTATTATAATTTTTTTGGAAAAATCAGTTTTTTATTGGCTTTTTATAAAATTGTCGATTAAAGAGATGACATCAGATTTGTCGTGATTTTATAAATAAATTATAACAACGATTGTTAGTCTCGGTTAGTACGGTAGATCTCGGAAGGCATTTACACATTATTAAATTGATGTCTTATTTGCAAAAATAGTAATAAAAGTTTAGTCAATTTGCAAATCAAAGACATGAACCAATTTTTATCAATCAATTCACGTCAAAATTATTTTAACTATAATTTTATCATAATATAAAAACACACCAATATTTTTTGTGTAAATTATCATTTTTGTGTAAAATATATTATAATTTATTGATAAATTTATTGAGCTATCAATTTAAATATATATATATTTCCCGATTTTGACCAAAAAAGACATACTGGTATAGTAAAAGAAATAACGATATTTTATACACATTTTATTTATACAGTATTATGATAGACATTGACATAATAGTGTAATTGAACATGCTTATTCTTTTAAAAAATTTATTAATATGAATAAAATGTTAATTAAAAACTATTTATTCATGTTTAGTAATAATTATTGTATTAATAGTAAACTTTTATAACAAAATTTATCCAAAATATTAATTGACTTAAAACTAATTAAAGTTAAAACTACTTTTAAAATAACAATAATTTATGGAAAATATTGAATTAATAATTACATTGAAATCAGTTGTTATAAGACTATTAAATAACAATACATTGCTTTAAGTTTTCAATTATTGAATGAATCGCTTGACTGTTGTCAACACTATTGCAATAACTATAAGGCGTTGACGTTATTCGTGACTGAAGTCAAGTGAGTCTTGTTTTGACTTTTGAGTGACATTTAGTCCAATTGAGTGTCTATTTGTTTACCGATTTTTTGGTCATATAAGTGGTCAGACATGAGTTCATCCGATCTGATCTGGAGTCTCAAGAACGGTGACCTCGAGTCAGTTATAGAGCAGTTTGAGTCCAAAGTGAGACACGAGTCATGTCTTGTATTAATTGTTTGTTGTTTTTAACGATGTTTTGTATATTTTGTGTCCAACAGAAAGTCGATGTCAACGCTTCACTGGACGGCCGATCGGCTATTCATTACGCCGCCGATTATGGACACACAGATATCATTGAGTTTCTAATCAGTAAAGGAGTTGATCTTAACGTAAGTCATAAATATATAATAGTATAGTCGGCGCCGACTATCACTTTGATTGACCCGATTTTTAACGCTTAGGCTGTGGATAAACACGGCATAAGTCCACTGTTGGCCGCCATATGGGAGGGACACACGGAATGTGTGCGACTCATGATTACCAGCGGCGCACACAAGAGTGGCCGCACTCCCGACGGACAGACATATCTGGAAGCCGCGGAAAAAGCAGAGATAAAGTCACTATTAAAGTGATACATAAAATACATTAATTTTTTAATTTCTATTTTATTTAATATATTATTTGCTTTCAAATAAATTGAAGGCAAAAGTCATGTGATTTATACGAAACAATTATTTTATTTTTTGATAACCTCTTGTCGTAATATAAATACCTTTGAAAACAAAAATAATAATTTACTTATAAAATAATCTATATATAAGATAAATATATTTTTATCTATAACTTAATATAAACGTATATTTTTTATGCCAATTTAATTATCTTCAAATAATTATGCTCTTTAATTATTATTATTGCTTAATTTTTATTAAATCATGAATGTATAAAATTTGAAATATTTATTATTTGTCAATAAAAATGTTAAATAATAAATTTTAATAAAATTTTATTACCGGTAATACATTAGTAAGAAAAAGGAAAAGTACTAATAAATACATGATTTGCCTATCTTTTGGCACTTTTTGGTGTTTCAATACAGTGTTAGTATAAAAACAGATGCTTTGGATGACTAGAAATATTTTTTGAAAATATTTATAAGTAATACATATTTAAAGTCAGATCTGATAAAAAGTCAGTAATAGATTTGAGAAATGTTGCATAAAATCTATATTATTATAAGATATAAGCAACGATATCACTAAATATAGTTTTTTAGCAAATATAAACTTAATATAAAACTTTTTGTTTTGTATAAATTAATAATAAAATACAGAATTTGTTTCATATATAGTCATATATAGTTTGTGACCATTTTTAGACTAAGAAACTATTAATATATAACTGTCTGAATGGATATAATACGAGACCAGTTGAATGCAATCACTATTTAAAACTCTTCGTGTCGTAGAAGGGCTTCGCCGAAGTCAGTGGCCTGACTGCCGACAAACACATCATAACTGTTTAATATCTCATCTTTGGTTAATTTTCCATCCTATATATGGTTATATTACAGATAAAATATTTAAAAATTGTAGAAAATATTATACTATAACCGGTAATAATATATAACAAACCTTATTGGTGTCCGATTCTGCAATTAAATGTTTGGCTTCAGCTTCAGAGTGATCATAATCAGGAGGAAGAACCCACTCTCTGATCTCATCTCTGTCCATAAATCCGTCTTTGTTTTTATCACGAATATCTTTGAACTGTTGTTTCTCTCTAATTACCCAATCGGGCACCTGGTCTGCGGAAGCATCGGGTGCATACATATCAGTAATATATTCGTCAACTGATATTCTTCCGTCACCATCTTTATCAATGTCTTCTAGTGTTTCATCGACAACAACATCTCTCATATGTTGAGCTTCTTCGGGATGAAGAAAATCCAAGAATTCACTTTTGCTAAGAGAGTTATCTTGATTACGATCGGCTAATTTCCATCGTCTTTCATCTCGTCTAACAAATAAATTCAAAATATTATCTTAAAAAGTGGTCAAATAATAGAGAGTATAAGCAATTGATTACTTCAACATTTCTTTATAAGTGTTAACATCTGATACAGAGTTGACTGTCATATCTTCCAAGAAACCAAAGGTGCGATTCTTGTAGTCGATCCATAAAAGTTGAGTCATTGAATCGTCGTCTCCCGTATGGCTCTTCCACTGTCTGTCGACGTCATCAATGATATACTTATTTTGTGTGTAATGAATCCATTCTTTGAGTTCATCGGTGGTGACGAGTCCATCGCTGTTCTTATCGATTTTGTCCACAATTTTGGCCAATCGTTCTTTACTCTCTTCAGGTGACAATTGGTCAAACTCGTCGGCATCCTCTCCAAGAAACGCTTTGTGATCATAGTCTGTATTGTGATTACCATCGCTGGACTCATGCAAATGTTCGTCTTGTTTTTGCTTATGAGTCTTGTCGTCGCTGTTGGGAATCGCTAACCCAAACACTAACGACAACACCAATATATTGACGAGAAATTCGGACAAAATGTGAGACATTCGGCCAAATGACGGACAGCGGACACAATCGGGAAAATGACTACAGATTTATACACTAAATGACAATTCAATCAAAACAATAACAATTCAATTGAAGTACACGTGTAGTAGTGATTAACGCATGCGTTAAATAGTAATTATTAAATACTGTATTTTAAGCTAAAAACAATAGGAGGGCCCTCCCATTCATTAGACTTTATCACAAGTTATAAAATATTGTTTTAATGTTTTTTAATTAATATTCAAATTATATACAAACTTCTAGTAAACTAACTTTTAACCGAATTTTAATCAAAACAATTTATTAATCTTTAAATTGACTTAAATTGATTATACATTGTTTAAATACATAATAATAACTTAAATTTTATTAAATAAATATTGAAGTAATAAATTTTTAAAGTAATAGAATATCCATAAAAATATATTTATATTCACAAATTTAATCGATAATAAACATTGAAAAATAAATTATTTTTTTATAAAATTAGTGCCAAAATAGCTGATTCTTTAAACTAATAAATACATATATTTCAGATATTAATGTAGAATAGTTCAGTTTAGTAGTTAAATGTGTAGTTAAATACTAAATTTTATCCATTCATAAATGTTTAGTCAAAATATAATAAATATGTAACTCAGCTCAGGTATGTGGGAGACAGGTATGTGCAAGACATGTAAGTTTTATATTTTGAAAAACTATAATAACTAATATCAAATCTGATACAAATTTAATATTACCGGAATATTTTATTCGAAAGCTGAGTAGATATTTAAATATTATTAATTTTAATTGATTTTAATTTAATCATAAAGTTTTTAAAGATATCATAATTTGTTGAACTAACATAATATTGTTGTATTTCTTTATATATATATATATAAATTATACTAAAATGTATTTAATAACTGCATTTTATACCAAGGTTATATTTTAGTGAAAAGTTTCTTATTGATTTCTATTAATTTAAATCATAATTATTTTTATTGTAAAACCTAAAATCTTAATTATTTATATTATCTAAAAATTGTTTATATTAATAATAATATACTGAAAATAATACAGTATAATAATAAAATATAGACAGTCTATATATATATAAAACAATTAATAATTATTTAACTATATATGATATTTGCTCAATGAATTATTTTTTCATTAATGATAAAACAGGTGTTACTTTAAATATTGTATTAATTAAATATTTAAACTAATGATCCATTTTTAATTTGAATTTAAATTTATAAATAGCTTTAATTTAAAAGCTATGAATTTTAAAATTCATTATATTGTATTAAAAATGACATTTTTATTACCGGTAATAGTTTTTTAAGTAAACTGCTTTGATAACAAACAGTATTGTATTTATTATTTAATTAAATTAAAAACGTTTTTGAAAAGTAAAAGCACTATTAAGTTAATTATGTTTTTATGAAATATTATATAAACAAAACATAAATATAAGAAAATTTATATTAAAAGATCTTAAAATTTTAAAATATTTATATAAATTATTAAATATCGTGAAATTTGCATAGATCTTAATTAAATATAAATTATTGATTAATTTTATATTCAATCAAATTGTTAATACATTTTAAATTGTAATTTATACCGTTTAATAAAAATAATTCAAACCATTTAAGATTCTCTAAATTAAAATTTTGTCAGATTTGAACTGAAATACTGAAACTAAAAAACTGTATTTTGTTTAATTAAATCTATTATTACACTAATAATAATAAAATATAATAATAAAAATAAGACACTAAATGATTAGTTATATACGTGTAGTTTGAAAGTGTTTTTGAACCAAAATAACAATGTATTTTGATTTTGTTTTTATTCTCCACATGTTTTATATGTTTAATATGTTTAATATGTCAACATTTTATGAACAGTTAATTAAAAGAGTAAAATATTTTTGACAACAATGAGTAGATTATATTATTAAATTGTTTTACAAGTACTAAAAAACCGAAGTTTATTGTGTCTATAAAACCATAAATAAATTAACTAGTTTTACCCGCGCAACATGTATAGTATTGCATACTCTTACTAATTGCTTAACAAAATTCTTTATAATGAGACCTATAGATATACATATACAATAGTCAACTACAATTATAATTCTGATTATAAATGACTATTTTGCTATATTTATGCTATCCATATAAACGTCTATAAAAAAAGTTCGCGCTATTAAAAATTGATGATTTTTTTGCTATAATGTTGTATACATGTACAGTTACAATATATGTAAAAATAAATTTACGCAATCAAGAGAAACGTCTTTGAAACTGTTAAGCAATATTAAAATTTTTTAGTTAAAATGTAGAATACATATGTAGTTAAAATCTAAGTAAAAATAAATTTATGCTATCCATATAAACGTCTATAAAAAAAGTTCGCGCTATTAAAAATTAATGATTTTTTTGTATAATGTATACATGTAAAGTTACAATATATGTAAAAATAAATTTACGCAATCATAAAAAACGTCTTTGAAACTGTTAAGCAATATTAGAATTTTTATTTTTTTAGTTAGATTGTAGAATACATATGTAGTTAAAATCTAAGTAAAAATAAATTTATGCTATCCATATAAACGTCTATAAAAAAAGTTCGCGCTATTAAAAATTAATGATTTTTTTGTATAATGTTGTATACATGTAAAGTTACAATATATGTAAAAATAAATTTACGCAATCATAAAAAACGTCTTTGAAACTGTTAAGCAATATTAGAATTTTTATTTTTTTAGTTAGATTGTAGAATACATATGTAGTTAAAATCTAAGTAAAAATAAATTTACGCAATCAAGAGAAACGTCTTTGAAACTGTTAAGCAATATTAGAATTTTTTAGTTAAAATGTAGAATACATATGTAGTTAAAATCTAAGTAAAAATAAATTTATGCTATCCATATAAACGTCTATAAAAAAAGTTCGCGCTATTAAAAATTAATGATTTTTTTGTATAATGTATACATGTAAAGTTACAATATATGTAAAAATAAATTTACGCAATCATAAAAAACGTCTTTGAAACTGTTAAGCAATATTAGAATTTTTATTTTTTTAGTTAGATTGTAGAATACATATGTAGTTAAAATCTAAGTAAAAATAAATTTATACTATCCATAAAAACATCTATAAAAAAAGTTCGCGCTATTAAAAATTGATGATTTTTTGGTATAATGTTGTTTACATATACAGTTACAATATATGTAAAAATAAATTTACGCAATCATAAAAAACGTCTTTGAAACTGTTAAGCAATATTAGAATTTTTATTTTTTTAGTTAGATTGTAGAATACATATGTAGTTAAAATCTAAGTAAAAATAAATTTATACTATCCATAAAAACATCTATAAAAAAAGTTCGCGCTATTAAAAATTGATGATTTTTTGGTATAATGTTGTTTACATATACAGTTACAATATATGTAAAAATAAATTTACGCAATCAAGAGAAACGTCTTTAAAACTGCTTATCAATATTTATAATTTTTTATTTTTAGTTATATTGTATAATTCTTATGTAGTTACAATATAATGGAAAATAAATTTATGCTATCAATAAAATCGTCAATAAAAAAAGTTCGCGCTATTAAAATTTGATGATTTTTTAGTATAATGTTGTTTACATATACAGTTACAATATATGTAAAAATAAATTTACGCAATCAAGAGAAACGTCTTTAAAACTGTTATCAATATTTTTAATTTTTAATTTTTAGTTATATTGTATAATTCATATGTAGTTACAATATAATGGAAAATAAATTTATGCTATCAAAAGAAACGTCTTTAAAACTGCTTATCAATATTTAAAATTTTATTTTTTTTATTGTAGAATACATATGTATTTACAATATAAATTAAGACTTGAATCTGATAATTTACGCGTAACACAATCAATAGAAACGTCTTTAAAACTGCTTATCAATATTTATAATTTTTTATATTGTAGAATAGAATACATATGTAGAAACACTCGATTTTTAATATAAACTCGAGATTAATATTGAATAAATATTTACATAAAATACATTTTCATGAAAAAAGATATTGTTTAACATTAATAATTAATAATTAAATATATTTAACAATTCTAATAAATCACGTGATTTAATAAATATTTAATAAACACGTGAATTAAAAATTTAAAAAATACTATTAAAACAGTTTATCTCAAAAACAGTTAATTTTTGTTATTAACAAATTATACTTCGTTTCCTTATCTTATTGGATCTACTAATCATTTATGACCAGTGATATTGCAAGGGAAGTGGGGTTATCACGGGTCTATTTTTACTGTGAACACTCTATGAGTGTTCATTAACCCGTGATGTAAACCCTACTATTACTTAAAGATTAAGCCCTTACGTTGCCCTGCACGTACCAGCATTATTAACTGTAACGGTATGTGGCTTAAGGAGCGAGCGGATCTCCTATCACTGGTTGTGTGCAGAGCTATGTGTTGATTTGTGTAGTATTTAGTCGACCGACTGTTTTAGTTTATGCTGTTTCTTGCATAAACTATCCGTATAATACTACCGTACGGATATCCAACTGATTGGTACAAAGTCTAGTTTTAAGGTCTGTTTAGTAAACATGTTTTCCTTGATATCTCCATAACTACTTGTCATACTGGTCTCCAACAAGTACCATTGGTATCAGTACATAAAACCCGATTTCCAGATCTCGATGACCTTGACCTTGTATAGGTGACCTTGACCTTGGACATGTGACCTTGACCTTGGACGTGTGACCTTGACCTTGGACGAGTGACCTTGACCTTGGACATGTGACCTTGACCTCTGACCTCTGACCTCTGACCTCTGACCTCTGACCTCTGACCTCTGACCTTCGACCTTCGACCTTGGTCAGTGGACCAGGTGGTCAGTATAACAGTTGACCAGTTTGTCTTGTGACTTATTACTATATCTGAGTTAACCTATCATAGCGCTTACTTTTGCATAGCTTATAATAGGTTACTCAATGATAAGGTTTACTCAACGTCATCACGTGTCAACACTTGTCTTTGGTCGGACCAGTCAGATCCTACCGTGTAGCGGACACAGTACCGGAGTTCCCTTCTATATAGTATTCGCTTACGTAATAAGT